GGGATTAAATATCCCAATTAGCGCAATTCACAGGTATTGACAACGCTGTTCTCCTGCCAGCATTCCCCGAGGACAAGAAACTGCTCTGTGTGGATCCCGAGGAACTCTTCCTTCGGATGATGCTCCAGGGTTTTTATTATCTGCATTTCCAGAGGTGCTGGGAGGTAAAAGAGGCTTCCCAGCCCCAATCCCCCAGCTCAGGGGGGTGTCAGTGGAGAGCAGGCTTTGTGCAAATTGTATTTTTTGGGATTTTTTTTCCTTCTGCATTCCCACCTGCCTCGAAGGAAAGCTCTGAAAGGTCGTTGTCAAGGTCCCAAAAAGCCCCAAGAGAAAGCACAACAATATTAAACCAGCTCCTCTGGCTCGGGCTGTAAATCCAGGGGAATTTTTGGGCTCCAGCCCCTGCCAAAGCTGTGCCACCACGGGATCATTGAGGTTGGAAAAGCCCTCTAAGGTCACCAAGTCCAGCCATGAACCACCTGGGCACTGCCATGCCCACTCCTAACCCATTAAAATGCTGTTTGCCCAAGCTCATTCCACCAGATTGCTCCAGATTTGCCCAAAAAAGAGGAAAAAAAAAAAAACCACAAAAAGGGGGGGGAATTTTCTTCCCATTTCCTTCCCAAGTGGAACTCATGGAACAACTGTCCTGGCACTTCCCACCCTGTAGGGACAGACCCTTCCAAGCACCTGCCCAGTGATGTTGCTGAGGCTGCATTTTCCCTGGCTCTGCACAATCCTGCTCCCAGCTGCTGCAAACTCAGCCTCTTGGGCCATTCCCAATCCAGGAATCTGCAGCCACTTCCAACCTGCTCCTGATCTTGTGCCTGTTCTGCTGCTTGGGGTCCTTCAAAATGGATGGAGAGCAACGTGGAAAGGGGAATGGAGTGGGAAGGAAAGGAAATGAGGGCCTTTGATCTCCCTTTTCATCTGGAAGGCATCGAGAGCCAAATGTTTTGGGATAAACAAGCTGTCAGGGGTAGGGAGCGAGCGGATCCACGGGGATTGGGTGGGGTGCTCCCCATGGCACTGATGGAAGGCAGGGATGGGATGATTCCCAAGCACATCAGCCAGGCAGCCCTGCTGTCAATCCTGGGATAATTAACCTTGGGAGAGGCCTCTGGAGGTGCCTGGTCCAACCTGCTGCTCCCAGTGGGGTCAGCTCTGGGGGCACAGCAGGTTCCTCAGGGTTGGAAAACCTCCCTTATCAGGGACTGCACAACCTCTCTGGTCAAGCTGATCCAACAGCTGACCTTTCCCATGGGGAATAAATGCCTTTTAATCCGGTTTCAACCCCTCTCCTGTCAATGTACCCATCACCCCCTGTCCTCCTGCCATGGCCCACCGTGGAGAGCCTGGCCCTGTGTCCTTCCCAGCTGCTCCCAGATCGGTATTAATGCCCCCAAAATTTCTTATCCAGCCTTATCTTCATCCAGGAGAGGTCTGAGGTTTGGAAGCACTGCCAGGGAGGCACTGAATCCACCCAGGCATTTCCCACTTCCAGAGGGCTCCTCCAGCACGGCCTGGGCTGCCCAGTGGGACCTCTTTTCCCAAAAAGAGCTGCTGCTCTTGGGGAAAGTTCCTCTTGGCACAGCTGGAATTAAAGGCAAGGCCATTTTATCCCTTCATGTTCCTCATTTCCACCTCAGTGGGTCTCCAGTGACCCCAGTGCTCAGGACAACTGGGCTGGGACATCCTCCCTGGTGGCTGATTCCAGCCAGTTGGAATCTTGCTGTGCTTCCTTGCAGATGGAGATCTCTGGGAGCCTGCAGCTCCTGACGCTGAGTTTCACTCGTCTCAGGTTGTAGGATTTATTTCGGTGACTCCAGCCCTGCTGTCTGAGCCTGGCTGGAAATAGTAAGTGAGTCTGATCTTATCTGCAGCCACTGGAGCCCTCAGTTATCTCCTCCCGGCACTATCTGCTACTCCAAAGAAATTAGATCTTGCTTATTGTTTTCTTACCCCTCTCCCTGTCCTCAGGAACCTCCCAGCTCCGGCCTTGGCTTTGGTGGAGCTTTTCAGGAGCCAGATCGGGCTTTTACAGAGTGTAAGATAAATCAGGCACTTCCCTAAAATCCATCCATGGATCCCAAAGTCTTTGAGAGCTCAGCTTCCCAGTGCTGACGTCGTTATCCCTGCACTGAGGGGGAAGCTGAGGCGTGGAGTGGTTATAATTTCATTTTGAGGGCTGGTTTCTGCTCGATTCTGTGGGAATAACGGATGCACAGCACATTAAAGGCTCAGGGCTCATGGTTTGGGAGGTCTCCTCATGGCTCTGGAGCAACCTGTGGGAGCCACAGTCCTTGGAAGTGTCCAAAACCCACGTGGATGGGACAGGGTTTAATGGTGGGAAGGGTTAAGGGTCGGACTTGGAGGGATCTTGGAGGGCTTTTCCAGCCTTAGTGGTTCCATGGCTGTAGGAAGGAGCTGAGGGAGCCACCACCCTGCAAGGAGGCAAGTCAAGAAGATAAAACCCCACTGAAGATCTTCCAGCCAGGAATCCCGATGGAATCAGGGGTTGGGAATGGGAAGGAAAGCCAGAATAGGTGTAAGTTTTCCAAGTTTTTGGGCTCAGCACCTCATATTTGGGAATCATCAGCGTGGCTGATGATTCTCCTGACATTCTTTGCAGCCCAGCTCAGCAAGGTTTGCTCTGGGCAGGGACAGGGTGGCACTCCCAGAGAAGCCACTTGGAGGGATTGGGAGGGACGAGCTGAGAAATTCCCCAAAGACCCCAAAATTAATCTCAGTCTGGGCTCAGTTCTGGCCTCCTTGAGCCCCAAATCCAGGCCTGGAGCTCAGGGCTGGCTTTTCAGTCCATTGGACAGTGGTTGGATTGGGGATCAAGGCCCAGATTTTGGCAACCAACCCCACCCCTGGCTCGAGTCATTCCCTCAAGCAAATCTACAAAGCAAATATTTGGAATTCCCGTGGCCAGGAGCTGCTCTGGAGAAATGTTCTCAGAGCCTTTTGGCACCACCCCAAATCCACTGATCCTCAACAACCATCACCACCTCTTCCTCTCATTCAAATCCAGGGAGTTGTTCCTTTTCCAGGCCCCTCCGGTGCTCCTGGATCCTGTGCTTTGTGGGGAGCTGCTCTGAGATCCCAGTCCCACATTCCCTGGATTTGGGACCACCAGCAGCAGGTGGGACAAAATTCTTTAATGTTCCCTGAATTCCAGCCTTTCAGGTGAATCTTTTCCTTAAAGGTGAATCTTTTTCCTTAATTCCCTGCACCAGGAAAAAAAAATCACCTGAGAAGCTCCTGGAGCCCATTTTAATATGAATTGAATTTTAATAGAAATGAATTGGGTTTATTTTATTTTTGATATATTTTCATATAAATATCCAATTTTCCTTTCTCCATGTCCTTTCATCAACCCCCGAGTTCAAGCAGGAGATTTTTTTGGGAATTCCGAATTCTTTGGAGATTTCAGGGCAAGGTTTCCCTTCGGAAATTCCTGCCCTCAAATCACTTGTGTTTTCAGCTGATGAAAAATCTTGATTAAAGGATGGGGAGGGTTGGGTTGTTTGGTTATCAACCATTCACTCCATGGAGCAACATCTTGGCTCCATCCTTGACAATTCCTCCATAATTCCATTTTTTACTGGAAAACTCTTCTCCTTTTCTCCCCAGTCACTCTGTGCTAAAACCAGCAGATATTTGTTAGAGAACAAAGCCAGATTCGAGTCCCGATTTGGGACACTTTGGGTGCCTCCAGGTGCTCCGAAAGGCAGGGAGTGCCACCTAGTGAGGGAATTTTATAGGGCAAGGCGAGAGGAAAACCGCGGGATGGCATTCCAGGATCTGCAATACTGCCGGGAAAAGGGGTGATGTGGGTGGGATAACGTGTAAATAGGCGTTATATCGGGGATAAATGGCTTTTATTCGCGGTATTCCTGGGAAATGGGAGAGGGGATGAGGGGCAGGGCTTGGTTTGGCTCTTGGTTGTTGATCAGTGATGGTTTGGCTTAAACTGGGAAGGGTTTGGGTTTGAGGGGAGTTAAACCATTCCTTCTCTCTTCTGGAGTTGTGTTATGGAAAAGGAAACGAGGCTTTTACACTCTCTATTTTATTTATTCAATTTATTTTATTCTATTTGGTTTTTTCTATTTCATTCTATTTTATTCCATTTATTCTATTTTATTCCGTTTATTCTATTTTATTCTCTTTATTTTACTCTACTTCTCCTATTTATTTCATCCATTCCATTTATTCCACTGCTTTTATTTATTCCACTGATTTGGAAGATCTGGTGCTGTGACCCAGCCCTGGCTTTGCCCTCCATTTCCTTGGATGAGTTTGGAGCAAAGTTTGGAGCAATTCCTGTGTGCCAGGGACAATAATTTAGGGAAATTAATAATTCAATGGGACCACCCACATTTTAAAGAGGACAACCCACCCACAGTGGTGCCGCTGAAAGTGCTTGAAATGATTTGAGCAGATGGGAAGAGTGCAAATATTTTCAATTCTCTGCCACAACCTTCCCAAAGACACAAACCAGAACCAAACCTGAGGTGTTTTATTAATGTTCTATTTTTTTTAGGTATTTTTTAACCACACCAGAGTCAAGTTTTTAAGTGTAAAAACTCTGTTTTTTCTGACTTTGTCTTGGGAAAAACACAGAATTAGGATGGGTAGGGTATCACAGAGAGGGCCACACCATGAACAATTAATTTCTCTGCTGTTTTAATTCACTTTGGCAGATGTTTAATGCTTGGTATTTTTAAAAAAAAAAGATCTAAAAAATCATCTGTAAATATTACCATGAGTGTCACAGACTGCTGATGTTTCTAAATTAGTTTGTACCAACAATTTAGGAAAGCTGAGGTTGATGATTTTTCCTTTCCATACTGAAATAATATTTAAAAAGGCCAAGTTTTGGAGGGAAAAGCTTGAAAAGGAGCAGAAATATTATTTAAATAAATAAAAAGCTCAACCTATCACTGACCTTTTCCCACTAAGAACAGCTACAAAAAACCCAACAAACAGGGGACTCTGTTCCTGGATAATTTTATTTTCACACCAAACTTTCCCACTCTCACAGAGCTGCTTTAAGGACCAAAAAAAAAAAAATTCATTTATTTGACTGCCAAGAGATCAAATCCTGGTTTTCAAGTATAAAAAGCATCCCAACCACGACCCCCAGGGATGGTGGCAGGAAATAAGGAGCTCAAAATCACTTTGATGGGTCTGTCCCACACAAACCCTTCTAGATAAAATAGAAATATGTTTTAGTTCATGGAGGGAGTTGAAGTTTAAAAAGCCATTTTAAAGTAGCTTATTTTTCCTGTCCAGAATATACATTTCCAGGAATTACAATTATAAATAAATACATTACAGGCATTTAATCACAGATATACACACACAGCACTATGGCAAACAGACACTTTAAAAAAAATTGAAAAGAAAAAGTGAAAATCAAGTTCAACTTCTTCTGATCTTGTTAAATTCCTGGTTGGGAATAGGATACCTTGGGAAAAGCACATTGCCTGGCAGTACCTAAGCATGCATTAGGATGGACACATGCTGAAATAACTCCGTTTTTTCCTTCTGCAAACACTTTTCTTAATCCTCAATAATTTAATCAAAATGAGAATAACAACAGCAACAACAAAAATACATAAAGCAACACTTGATTCCTTTGGTATGAGTCGCTAATTTTGTTGTGAAGCAGAAACGCAGATATTGGCACCTTTTTTTGTGTGTTTTGTTGTTTTAATTTGGGGGTTTTGTCTCTTCCCGCGGGTGGGGAGGGTGTGAAAGTGCAGAGTGCAACAAACAGCAAAACTGGTCCTTAAGGATGTCCCTCAGCAAAAGGACACTTCAAAGAGAACAAAAATTCACATTTTCACACAGAAAAGCAAAAAAAAACCTCTGCCACCATCCAGCTGATGGAGCTTCCTGGGAGTTGGCAGCTCTGGGAAAAATACCTGTGGGTGTTACATATTTTATATTTATATATATATATATATATATTATAATGTTTGAATTCCAGGCTCACCTAAAGGCCTGGAGATGAATAAGGAACGAGGTGGAATTGTGTGTGTGCCAGCACTGGTAAAATCTGCACCTGATGCTCCTCAGTGTGGCCAGGACTCAGGGACATGATCACATTTATGGGTGTGTCTCTTGAGCAATTCATTCAGACCTCCTGCAAAATCATTTTAAATCCCGTTACAAGGTTGGAGAGGAGGAGGGAACTCACCCAGTCCAGCTTTGGGCACCTAAATGTGACTCTTTACACTGCAGATTGAACCTCCACTGCTCATTTAGGTGAGAACCAGCCCAGAGAAATATAAATCTGAATTCCACCACGTCTGGCAGCAGTCAGGGGATTATTTACTGCTGGAAGGGAAATGATTCCTCACACACAGTGTTTGGAGGGGAAGCTTACACACCAAATACCAAACTCGCCCACCTTCCTAAACCTTTCTAAGCACTCTGGAGCTGCCAGGTTTAAAATCCAGAATAAGTTATGTACACGGTGCCTTTGAAACAGCAAAGAGCTCAGAGAGAAGTCACACAGAAGGTCTAATAATTCCATTCCTTGCCAAGAACACCCTCCCTCCCCCAGCTCGGGTATCCCAGGGGAAACCGGTCCCTTTTCCTGCCCCTGACAATAACCAGCCCTGTTCCCTCTGGCAACAGCAGCTGATTTGCAGCCTTTTTACTCTTCCCAAACTGACATTTCTTCCCTGCCAGGAAACGGCAGCAGGCTCTGTTTTCACAACCTTTATCAGCAGCACAAAGGCCTGTCACCGTCTTCAGCAAATAAATCTTGGGGAAAATCTCCCAGCAGCTTTTCTCTCCCCGTTATTTTCTGTGCTATCCGTATTTTGAGACCTATTATTTGCCTCCAGTCCTGTCACAGGAGCCTTTCCAGCTTTCTGTCACCTCTTTCTGTGTTTTCTTTCAAGCATCTCTACCTCGTGCCACGTCAGCAGCTCTCGGGGAGTTGCAGGGTTTTCACTGACATAACGAGCCGTGCAAAATCTTTTTCTTATTTTTTTTTTGTTGTTTGTTTTGTTGTAGAGTAATTTGTAACCCCTGGTTACTGGGATTCTCCCCAGGCAACAGTAACCAAGCTGCGAGTCCATCACCACCCTTTTTTTTTCCCTCAGGCTTTCAGGGGATGCCGTCCTTCCTCTGGCAGCACTGGGAGGGGGGCACCCCCCAGTCGTACATGTAGGAAAGCCTGAGCTTCACCTCCTCCTTGCAGAGCTTGCCTTCCTTAGCCAGGGTCTGGTGCTTCTCCAGCATGTCCTCGATGCTCTGCTTGTGAGTCACTATGTACTTATTGTTGCAGCCCCGCGACTTGTACTCGGTGTCGAAGCGGGGGTCGTGCACCCTCTTCACGTCGATGGGCGCCAGCCAGACCCCCAGGGACACGTCCTCGCTCTGCCACATGTTCAGGTAGTCCCTGCTGAGCCGCAGGTAGCGCACCAGGTCGGCGGAGATGACATAGCCCCCGCCCAGCGCGTAGGGCAGGTAATAGTCACACAGCACCCAGGCGCTCTCCTTCCACTTCCCGCCCGACTTCACCCGGCCCCGGCCCGAGAAGAAGCCCCAGTAGAGCCGCCGCGGCTCCTTGGCCTTGAGCTCCTCCACCAGCACGTCCAGCCGCACGAAGGTGTCGTCGTCCGCCTTGAGGGCGAACTGGAAGTCCAGGTGCAGGTCGAGCCAGGCGTAGGTGGCCAGCACCTTGGCCGTGAGGTTCTCGTACGAGTCGCGCAGCTCCGGCAGCAGCAGCAGGTCGCGGTGCCGGCTCTGCTCCAGCTCCAGGCTCCGCAGCTCCTCCTGCCCCAGCCCGGCCGTGCCCACCACGAAGCGGCTCCACACGCGGCCGCGCTGGGAGCGGCTCCCCGCCGCCATCCAGGTGCTGCGGATGATGCTGCGCCGCTCGCTGTACTTGGGGCCGCTCATCACCACCACGGCCACCAGCGCGCTGCCCTCGGCGCGTTGAGGAGGGGCGGCGGCGGCGGGCGGGGCGCCGCGGCCCGGCCGGCTGTGGGGCAGCGCGGCGGGGGGCGCGGGCAGCGGGCGCAGCCCCTCGGAGGTGCACTTGGCGAGGTAGAGCAGCACGGCGGCGCACAGGGACAGCCCGCCCAGCCCCAGCGCCGCGCGGTGCCGGCCCAGCCGCCGCAGCGCCTTCATGGCCGCCGGGGCCCCCTCACGGAGCGCGGCCACGCCCACGCGGTTTAGGCGGGAACGGCTCTGTGTGTGTGTGAATGGGGGGGGGGGTCTGTACGGCCGCCGCGAGGGGACAAGATTCTTTGGTGGGGGGATGCTGCCCGCCCTGTAGCAGCGATACCTCTTGTGTGCGATTCCCAGCGCGCTGCGACCGCGCAACAACAAAGCGCGCCCGGCTTCTGAAACTCACCGAGCGAAGCTTAAAGAGAGGTTTATTTTAAGAGCCCGTTTTAGGCGGCGCCGCCGCCGCCCGCTCCGAGGGGGAGGTGGCTCCTGCCCTCACGCAGGATGGCGGCTGCCCTCGCCCAAGATGGCCGCCGCGGCCTCACGCTGTGGGGTGACGCCGTTCCGCCATCTTCCCTCCTCCTCCTCCTCCTCCTCCTCCTCCTCCCGCCCTCACAGCGCCCGGGGGCCGTGAGGGGCTGAGGGGCGGCCGGGCCCGCCCGGAGCCTCCCCGTGCCTCTCACGGCGCTCGGGGTCGCGTCCTCCTCCCTCTTTCCCCACCGAGCGCTCCCCCGGTGAGTGCGGGCGGCCCCTCCCGCAGCCCCGCGGGGCTTGGGGCGTGTGGGTGTGGGTGTGGGGAGTGCTTTCGATTTCGCTCGCGCTGTTCGATTTGGGGCGTTTTCCCTGGGCGATCCCACGTCTCGCAGGATATTCTGTGATTTTTATGGTTCTGTGACAGGTCCGCCGCGGGGTTGCGCTTCCTGCCGCTGTTTCCCTGCGTGTTTCCAGCTCCGCTTTCTCTTGGGATCAAACCGCGTTTCCCCCTCGCTCATCCCTCTCCAAAAAGACCTTTATTCCTTTTCTAAACAGCTGTGGTGTTGGGATCTCTGGGATATTGCTGTGCTGCCGTAGCTGTTTCTGCCTCTGGAAGGGTGTTCCCTTCCAAAGTCCTCTGCGGGCTGAAAACCAGCACCTTAATGCCGTGTGTTTATTATTTAATGGGCTTTTTTTCTTACTCTCACAGCAAATACTTGTGTATTTGCGTGTAGGTTGTTCCTAATTTATACTTCCGTGTAGTTTTTACTACGTATAGTATACATATTATACTTATTATAGTATATATATTTATATAGTATTTATGTACTATATATGTTATAATGTATATTTATGCCTCTGTGTAGCTTTTTATGCTTCTATATTTATACTTATTTGCATTTTTTTATACTTATTTATATTCTGTGCAGTTTTTTATACTTCCATACTTATACCTGTGTGTAGTTTTTTTATACTTGTATATTTATACTTGTGCGTGGGTTCTCCTGAATTTTAGGTGTTCATTATTTATTATCATTTGCGTCCTCACATTCCAGAATCTAATTTATGTGTTTTCTCCTTTTTTTTTTTTTTTGTTTTCAGATCATTTAACCCACAGTAATTCACATTACCCAGTGTTTTGAATTCAAAAAAGGAACAAAATGATGTCGAGACAAGCCTTCCTGTGCAGTTTGGGATCTCTGTATTTATCCCTCCTGTTCATCTTCCTCCTCATGGATGTTTATGCCAGGCCTGCAAATAACTCCGTGCTCAGGGAGAAGGCAGCGGATGGGAAGGATGAGAATGAGATCCTGCCCCCAGACCACCTGAACGGGGTCAAGATGGAGATGGATGGGCACCTGAACAAAGAATTCCACCAGGAGGTTTTCCTTGGAAAGGAGATGGAAGAATTTGAGGAAGATTCAGAGCCCAGAAAAAACAGGAAGAAGCTGATGGTCATTTTTTCCAAGTAAGTTGGGCAGTGCTGAGAGCAGAGAAAGAGGACAAGTTGGAGTTGTTTCCTGTAATATTTAAAAATTACAATGATGAAGGAAGGGGAAATCCTCATCCTTTTAGGGCTGTGTTTGTGTTTTAAAGGTGTAAAAAAACCCTCTCCAAACCCTCCTCAGGAGTGTTGAGAATCACGACCAGTGTTGTTGTCTAGGCAAGTTTATGCCAAAATGCACAGTTTCTGTGTGGAAAAAAAAAGCTTTTCAGGGTATGAAAATTAAAATTACTCTTTCCTGGCTCAAGGAATACTCAACCACACTTGTATTTTAGATCAGGGAATTGGTAAGGAGGGGTTTCCTTAGGGGAGGATGTCCATGAGTTAGGACAAAACTGGAGCAAAATCCCAACACCTCCATTGCTCTGTTCAAAGTTTGATTTCACTGGCAATTTACTTTGCTTATTTATTTTTTGGTTTCATATTCCATTTTGTGGCTCCTGCCACAAAGAGAACGAAGCGTGAGAATGAAAAGATTAAAGTTTCCTTTTAGAGCTTTTTAAAGAAGTTCATCTCTTTCTTTACTTGGTATAAAAACATTTGAGACATTAAGGCTTTTTTTTTTTCCTTTCATAAAGCACTTTCTGTGCTGCCTGAGGTCTGGGTCAGGTGTTTGGAGATCAATCACTGTGCTGGAAATCAAACCCAGGGTGCACTTTCAGTCACCAGGTGGCACAATTGGCTTTATTTGCATTTTTGAGTGAAGGATTGATTTTATTAGAGCAGCTCAAATTACATTGGTACTCTCCACAGGGATGCCCGTGGAGACAAACTGATATATATAAAAATATTAAGATTTCTTTACTGTTTTACATGTGTTGGCAACACTGTTTGTAATTTGGGAAGGACAATTTACTTAAGTCTTGAATTTCTGCCTGTTTGTTATCAAGGAGGTTTCTCAGGGAGCTTAAAATAATTGGATTCAAGATCCATTTCATTCAGAGCCTTAAAATTACATTCCCTCAGATTAAAAACGTTGGGAAGCTTTGTGGGGGGGCTTTGATTGCTTTCCAGACCTTCTCCTAAAGGCTAAAAGAGAAATCCTTGGGATCCTCTGGGAAAATCCTGGGCTTCCAGATGGTCTGGAATTGCTGTCTTGGGAAGGCACAGAGACAACACACCCCAATGTGGTTTTAACCAGTGAAAGCTGAGATTCCTCAGTGTATAAAATAGGATAAAATGGTATAAAACAGCCAGGATAAAATAACCGAGTCAAAGCATAAATTATTATCCTACAAGATTCCTGAAAAGGAAGTTGGAACATGAAAGAATTGCTCCCCAAACCACGATTTTCCAGGCAAGGTAAATTGTGTTGTTTGGCTTTCTGTGCTGTGGCTCCCTGAGGTCACTGTTTGGATGAAACAGAAACCGGCTCTGAAGTGATTTGTGGGCTTGGAAAAAGAAAAAAAAAATCAGCATTTTGAGGGGTGCTCTGGGTGAGACCTGAAACCAGGGATCTGAAAGTGGGTTATTGGTGATGGACCTTCTGGAGGGTGGCCACAAAAATCTGATATTTTTTTTTTTTTCGTGGCTTGTGGTTGAGCAGCTGGGCTGAAAGTGGTTTATTTTGATTTTATCCATATATATAATATAACCCTCACCATAGGAAAAATTCAGTTATCCTGCAAAATACCCACTCGTTTCTTACTCAGAGGTGCCACCTTTGTGCTTTCACGACCTAAATGAGCAATAAATGGGAGGTTTGCTTCTAGTTCTGGGGTGATTTAGGTGGAAAGTACAGCTTGGAAGTAGAAAGTTTGCTGGCTTTGATCTAAGGAAATAAAATGTTAAACGTTGAGGGGAAAATGCTCTGCTTTAGTCTCAGTTTTATTGTACCTGTTCCATGCCAGACCTGGTGGGTGCAAAGAGTTGCCATCACCATCTTACTGCTCTTGGCACTGAGATTTAAACGTAGCCCTGATGTGATATTTAAACCCCTCCAGTAATAGGTTTATTGTGTTTTCAGAAGATCAGGTGCTGGGGTGGTTATTTGGCTCGAGCTTTTAACATTTAGCTGACATTTAAGAGGCAAATCACATATTTAATAACTCGAGTTTCAGTGATAACACTTCAGTGATACAGAGATAACAAAGCAAGAGTCAAGCTGGGGGGTTTTGTTATGTTTGGGGTTTGGTTTTTATAATGAACAAGAGTGGTTTTGGTGTGCCTTAAATAGATTTTTGCCTCTTAAGTGGCTTTTCAGTTGTATCTGTTTTGAATAAATATTTAAAGGTGTGCTCAAAAAAAAGAACAAACCAACCTTCCAAGTGGAAAATTAGTGGGGTTTGTGTTTGTTCTTCTGCTGTAATTTTTATGTTCTCCTGAGTGAAATCAGCACTGGTGGAATTGGAAAGTGTCACTGGTGGTCCATTCAGGAAAAAGGGATTGTCAGGTTGGGTGTTTGCTGAGGATTTTAGTCGGAAAAGGGACATCCTTGGACAAAGCAGACAATTTGGAAACCTCCTGGAGGACAAATGTGTGTGCAGAACCTGTAAATGTGTTTAGAATTAAAAACTCTCAGCTGTAACATGTGGAGGTGTAACAGAGGAAACCTGGTTTAGCAAGGTTTTTTTCCACTTTTAAGCACTACAAAGTATAAAACAGTTCAAGTGTTTGCAGTTAGGGAGAGCCTGGAGCTGCTGACAGCTCTGAACCTCAGCAAACCAACCACTCTTCCATTTGGGATGAGCTCTGGTTTCCTCTCTTCGAAAAATTTACTGAGAAATGTGAGTTAAATTTAAGAGAACCTGAGTTACCTTGCAGGGAAGTGAAGGAGGGCTGAGTGTGTTCCACTGAGGGGTAACTCGTAGTGTTGCAGCTCCTTTAATTAACCAATAAATTGCTCTCTTCCCACTTATTTCTCTGGAGTTCCAAGAACCTGCAGCTTCTCCCAGAGGGTTGTAAATGTTCTCAGCCTGTTTGTTGTTGCTGGATAAAGGAATTCATTTTGAATCTGCACCTTTCCCTGCCTGACCCCCAAATCTTAAATGTGGTTTGCCCTTCCCCCAGGGTGGATATAAATAATGATAAAAAGATTGGAGCCAAGGAGATGCAGCGCTGGATCATGGAGAAGACGGATGAGCATTTCCAGGAGGCTGTGGAGGAGAACAAAATGCACTTCAGAGCTGTGGACCCCGATGGGGATGGTAAGAGGAGCCATTCCTGCATCTCCTGGTGACCACAGCCACTCAGAGGTGCTGTGGTGACAACCCCACTGTTTGTTTCCACGAAGCCCAAACAAGTAAAAGTGAATCAGGTGATAGTTTTTATCTTGCCATTCATAAACCTCGGTCTGCTGCTTGAGCTGGACCAAAAGGTTTGGAATGGGCTGGTTTTTTTTTTTTTTTTAGTCATGAGACCAAAAGTTCAGCTTTTAAGATCTGTCTCTTCCTCACAGGCCACGTGTCCTGGGATGAATATAAAATCAAATTCCTGGCAAGTAAAGGCTTTAATGAAAAAGAAATTGCTGAAAAGATCAAGAACAACGAAGAGCTGAAAATAGATGAAGAAAGTAAGTGCAGACTGGGGGGGTGTTGGTTTTTCTGTTGTGTTCCTGAAACCTGAACGTCAAAGCTGTTCATGATTTCTAAGCTGAATGTTTTGGTTGTTCTGTCTGTACCCAAATACAGGAGGTGGGAGTCACAAGGCAGAAATCCTTCATTCTTTCTACCTGAAATCCACCATAAAAATGGGCAGATTTTAGCAGGAATCTCCCAAGCTCCCCAACCCAAGAACTTAAATTTACTCAGTTTAAATTTACTGTCAAGCAAAACACAAAGCCTTTTTGCCTTTCCCTGCAGGAATTAGTCATTTAAAAGCTGGTTGTGTTACACTTTCCACTGATCAAAAAGCAACTGAGATGCAAATGGAGCTTTGAGCTTTCTGGCAAGGGAAAGCACCTGTGCAGGGGGGCTGGCTGCAGTTTACAGGAATGCTCAGCAGATAACACATCTGCTGAGTCAGGCAAGTGTCTCTACACCAGCACTGCTCTACCTGGGGACCAAGCCTTATTTGGGAAAATCAAATTACTTAATCTGCAGCTTCCTGGGCCCTGAGGCAAAGCTGAGTCTTGGGCTCTAGTGCTGTGTAAAAGTGCTTTTCTTTTTTTAGGGGGGGGGGGATCTGTTTAATAAACACCTGGATGTGTAAGACCTGTTCTGAGCCTTGAGCAGGAGCACAGGCCAAAATTAGGGGCACCCCTTGAATTAATTAATGCAGATAACAACAGTTTTAGCTGGTGATTGACAGTTTAGTTTCATTTAAGACTTAAGGCAAAGGGAGTTGAATTAGGACTTCTCACATTTGGGGTTGACTGCCTTGGTTGACCTGTGTCCTTGATATAACTAAAACTTGCCAGCTGCAAACTTGCCCAAGATTATTAATATCTTCATTTTAAGACTGAAGGATTCCTTTACTCTTCACGGAAATATTCACTGAAAAATTCCAACTGTCAGCCTAGAAATGTAGATGTGACCACTGGGGTTGTTCTTCCTCTTGTAACTCAGCAACCAAAAGCCTTCAGGAGTTATTTAAGCCAGTGTGATAAATAAATAAAAAAAATCATTATCTGAAGCCTTTCAGAAGGTTTTAAAACTTGCTGCAAAGCAGATATTTCAGACTTGTGTTTCAGTGTGTGCTTGCAGGTAGCAGGGAGTGCTGCAGGCAGAGTTTTTTCCAGTGTGTCATTTAGAAAATGCCTACATGAGAAAAAGAATACTTTGGGCAGGTATTTCTTTCCTGTGGGTCTCTTCAGGCCCGGTAGGTGCACCCAAATCCACGCCGTGTGGGTTTGATTTCAACTCAGATGTGTGGTTTTAGCAGAAACTCAGGGGTAAATTGTGATTCTCAGTTGAGTTAGGGGGAAAAAAATTCACTTCAGTGGTTGTGTACACGGTGTAAGATGAAAGAAGTGGGATTGTGAAACGAAATGAAGAGAGAAGTAAAAGGATTTGGGTGCTGAGTTATCTGTTGATTCGCAGGAACTTCAACTTGCATCTGCTCTTTGCAGCAAAAACATTTCCTTGTCATTAAATTACTGTGAAAACTGGAACATGTGGAGGGGTTTGGCTCGTGGAGCATCGACTGAGTGTCAGGGCAAGGTGTGTTTTAAGAGCTTTTAAACAGATGGAAGGTGACAACAACTTTAAAATCTGGTGAAATTTGCAGCCCAGGAAGTTTTAGACAACCTGAAGGATCGGTGGTACCAGGCTGACAACCCCCCTCCTGACCTGCTGTTGAATGAGGAAGAATTCCTGTCCTTCCTGCATCCAGAGCACAGCAGGGGGATGCTGAAGTTCATGGTGAAGGAAATCATCCGGGATCTGGGTATGGAATTTTCCAGTGTCTTCTCAGGAGCTGTTTCCTCGCACACCATTTTGTTGGGTGGTCCTTGCACTGCCCTGGGTCGGGCTGGAATTCTGGCACATCTTGTTTGCTCATCTGCTGATGTGATGAGTTAAAAAAAAAAAAAACAAAGCCAAGCTGTTATCACAAATCCTGGCATCTCTCTGGAGTTGTCTCAAGGCTCTGGTTGTTAAAAACCAGAACATTAGAAGGATACTCTGAGTAGAAACATTAAAGGTACTTCATGGGAAGCAAATCATCTTCTGCTCCTTCAGCTTCAGCTCTGCTGCTCCAGGGTCATGGTAGCAGTGGTAGAAAAGGTTTGCTGAACATTAAATATTATAAAATAATAGGTTTCCTGAGGATGGCACTAACCCCAGTGCAGCAGCCCTGTCACAATCGTGGCTTCCACTCATCAAAGTGGAAAAAAATGGTTGAGTTTTGCAACAAAGTTGTATTTTTTAATCCCTATGTGTTGGCACACGAGTGGAGTGAGGGCTGTGGGCTGCTCACAGCAGGCAGCCCGGCCCAGTGAGATTTCTCCTTTTTAATGGGCACTGAGCAAATAACTTCTCACTTCTTTGGTGCTGCTCTTGCAGATCAGGATGGAGATAAGAAACTCACCCTGTCAGAGTTCATTTCCTTACCTGTTGGCACCGTGGAGAACCAGCAGGCTCAGGACATTGATGACGACTGGGTGAAGGACAGGAGGAAGGAGTTTGAGGAGGTGATCGATGCCAATCATGATGGGATTGTCACCATGGAAGAGCTGGAGGTGAGTTCCCAAATAATTTCGAACCCAGTAATTTTAAACACAACACACTTGGGTGGTTTTTTTTGGGGGGGGGCTGAAAGCAGGCACGGATTTCCTCAGCTCAGCTGGGCTATGGGGCACTGACTCAGACTTCCAGTTGCAAAAGGAGTAACTGCCCACCTAGAGATTCATTGAGAAGAAAACCCCACCAAAATAAAAGAAAGCCAAAAAAACCCCAGTGCCCAACAAACACTGGGGCCCCACGGCCTTGAAAAGAGCAGGGTGTTTTTCTTGTTTAAAACCCAAATTTTCAAGTGTGAAACAAACACTGGGGGCCCCACAGCTTTGAAAACAGCAGAGAGCTCTTGTCTTTTAGGCATTTGGTTTGTTTTTTTTTTTTAAACCCCAAATTACTATTTTTCAAGTGTGGATTCCAGTTTGGGGTTTTTTTTTTTTTCACTACAAGAAGAACTACTCTACTACTTTTTTCTCTTCCCCAGACTGTTAAAGTTTAAATGAAAGTTGGATGAATGTTAAAATCCCTCACCTCAGTATGCAAATATTTGGGTAGAGATGTTTGATATTTTATGGATATATGTTTATATGGACAAATTTTATGACCTTTTTCCTGAGAATTTCCTTTTAAAAACAGCTGTTTTACCTGTGGAGTCTTTGTGTACTTACACATCCATCACATATTCTGGGGAGAAATGAAATCTTGAGTCTCCTAACTTTTAATTAAGTGCCCCACCTTTTAATTTATTTCGTGTGAGGTGAAGGGGCAGGTGCTGATGTGTGGGCAAGCGAGTGCCAAGGATGTTCTTCCTTGTTTCCAGGAGTACATGGATCCCATGAACGAGTACAACGCCCTCAACGAGGCCAAGCAGATGATTGCAGTGGCAGATGAGAATCAAAACCACCACCTGGAGCTGGAGGAGATCCTGAAATACAGCGAGTACTTCACGGGCAGCAAACTCATGGACTATGCACGGAATGTCCACGAGGAATTCTGACCCTGCTCGCTGGCCCAGAGCTCTGAAGCACTTTCTGGCTTTCAAAAAAGAGAGGGAGAAAGGAAGAAATCCGAGCCCCAAACAGACAGAAAGTTCCTTTGCTGCTAATCTGTGTTCTTTGCCTCCAGTTTGTTGCCCCAGACTTCCAACTTTCCGTCCATCCACGGGATCTGCTGCCTTTTGGGGTGAGGGGAAACCAGGCCAGGAAGAGTGGGAAAGGCCCTGGAATCCCTCAGTTCACCCTGGATTGGGCAGTGATTCCAGCTGAAGTTCAACAGATCATTCCTGGGGGAGGCTTCTGAAATACTTCACTTATTGCCCTCGTAGCTGCTGATCCCTGGGAATCACAGATTACAGGGAGATGTTGGGTTTTGGAAGGGATGCTGATCCTGGGGAATCATAGAGAACAGGGAGATGTTGGGTTTTGGAAGGGATGCTGATCCCGGGGAATCAGGGATTACAGGGAGATGTTGGGTTTTGGAAGGGATGCTGATCCCTGGGAATCATAGAGAACAGGGAGATGTTGGGATTTGGGAAGGGATGCTGATCTCTGGGAATCATAGAGAATAGGGAGATGTTGGGTTTTGGAAGGGATGCTGATCTCTGGGAATCATAGAGAACAGGGAGATGTTGGGTTTTGGAAGGGATGCTGATCTCTGGGAATCATAGAGAACAGGGAGATGTTGGGATTTGGGAAGGCAGTGGTGGTTCCAAGGCATGTTCTGACCTCCTGGGAATACCCACGTGACACTCCACCCATCTCCCAGTGGTTTTCTCAGCCTAGTTGGGAATTTAATCCAAGTTTTCCCTCCATCACTCAATTATCCTTCGGGACTGTGGGGAGGAATTTGTTTTAAACTTTAGAGAGAAGCTCTTTGGCATCTACTTCAAAATAAACCTGGTTGTAGCATGACAGGCTTTGTGTTGGCACCTGCCCCGGGGGGAGATGGGGGAGGGCTCAGATTATGGCTTCAAAAAAAACCCCAGATTTGGCTCTGAAACGAAATGCAAGGGGAAAGTTTCTTCATGGACTCAAACTCGCTGTTCAGACTGGTAAAATCAGTTGTCTCTCTGTAAATTGGAGCTGAATTTGAGGTGCTGAAGGGGGGGAATTCCAGGCTTTGCTTCTGAGCTGTGAACACCCGGCACTCGGGAAGCCCTTTGATCAGCCTGGCTCTGGGTAATCTCTCCGAGCATCTTGGCTCCCATCCACTACTGCAAAAATAGAACGTTTATTTTTACTCTGGTTCCATCTTTACTGTAAAAAAAAAAAAAACAACCCCAAAAAACCCTCTTTGTGAAGGGTTCCTGCAAAATCCGAGCGAGATGTTATATTTGATTAAATTTATTCTCTTAATATAATGTAAATATAAGTATTGCTGGTTCTGTTTGACTCTTCCTCCTCTTTTTTTGTTGGTTTTATTAAATGGCTTGTATAAGAGTCTTTTTTATATCAATATATCTCTTTTTTTTTTCTTTCCCATTAAATATTTTTCTCCATTTGGAAACGGTGCTGGGTTCAGGTTTGTGGGGAAGAACGAAACTCTCGGGAAGAGACAAAACGGGATTTTAAAAGGGGAAAGGAGGGATCAATTCCATTGATAATCTCATATTAAAATGAGCTTAAAGGGAGACATTTTAATAATATCAGTTGATAAATATATGTTATTTTTCTCTTTTCTTTTGATAATTAATGATTTCTGTTGGGCTCAGGATGATCAGAGGTTTGGCCGCTCCCTGCCTGCAGGTGGTTCCGCTTCAGGGAGAGGGGACTTTTGGAAAGAAAGATCTCAAGCTATAATATCTTTTCCATAGGGGTTACCTTCCCAAATCCTTGGAAAACAGGAGAAGTAGATAAAGAGTTGCTGTTTTGCCTCTTCCCAGAAGTTGAGGAGAGGAAAGAGAAGCAGCAGTTGCGGATAAATCCACCGTGACGTTGCTGTCCAGCCCTCCCAGACACTGCAGGAAAACTGCAATTCCAGAATTCCTGGTGTTCCAGTCAAGCCTCCTTTTGCACCTGGATGTGACTTGGGAAGCCTGGCTGTGTTTTTTTGTTTTTAATCTAAATTAATCCACATCAGAGGTTTGCTCCCCATGGCACATCCTCACTCGGCCTTTCCGCTCCCGTCTCGGGAACACCTAAAATTTCATTCCTTGACCAAACAAGTCGAATTCTGGGAGACTAAAAAATTCAAATTCACTAACTCTTCATGTGTCCACTGTTCTTTTTTCTTCCTGCACCTCGGTGCTGGGTGTGGGCACAGCTGCAATGCCAGGGGAGCTGCTCAGCCTCCTCCATCCCAGCTTTTCCCGCTTTTCCAGCCATTCCCAGCCTGAGCTTTGCTGCTCCTTTAGAGCGCCCGCCTGGAGGGGCCTTGAGAGCTAAAACAGAAACCTCCTGAGAATGCAATTCAGCATCTTACCTTCCTGCCTGTGAATCTTTTCAGTCATGAACTGCAGAAAAAAAAAAACCCACCCAAACCCCCCCAAGCAGGCTCAGGGTAGTGTGGGAAGAAGGAAGGGGGCGTGGAGCACCGGCTGGGAATTCCCCAGCCCCGCCATATCAACCTGTCCTGCTGGCCCAGGGCTCTGCAATCACATCTCCCAGAGCCCAGAAAACTCTGCTGGCATGGTTATGGCAGGTGCAGGTTGGGATTTTCCTGCTGTTTTCTTGCTGCTGCTGGTTGCTGTTGGCCATTCCTGGGGGTTGGAATGTGGGGAACACCAATATCCTTTCCGGGACAAATGTTGCAGCGACTGCGCCCCGGGTAAGTCACTGCAGATGGGGGCTCGGGGGGAAATCTGCTTGTTAGGGAGCCAGAGGTGGCATAAAACAGCTTTCTGGGAATGTTTCAGGATATCCTTAAATATATTTATTAAATTAATCGATATTTATTAAATTAATTAAATAAGGATGTTAGGATATCCTTAAATATATACAGTGGTATCCTTAAATATATACAGTGATATCCTTAAATATATACAATGATATCCTTAAATATGTACGATGATATCCTTAAATATGTACAATGATATTCTTAAATATATACAATGATATCCTTAAATATATGCAATTATATCCTTAAATATGTACAAGAATATCCTTAAATATATACAGTGATATCCTTAAATATATGCAATGGTATCCTTAAATATGTACAATGATATTCTTAAATATGTACAATGATATTGTTAAATATGCAATGATATCCTTAAAGATGTACAAGGATATCCTTAAATATATACAAGGGTATAATTAAAGATGTACAAGGATATACTTCAATATAAAGGATATATTTAAGGATATATCCTTAATATATAAATATAAAGGATATAATATAAGGATATAGGAAGGATATAGAAAAAGCATTTGGTGAGGAGCTTTCCTGAAAGATTTTTTTTTTTCCTATAACGTAAAAAATGTAGGAATCTTCCTTTTAGTCTTTAACTCTTCTGTCTTCTAATGTGTCAGCCAAGGGCATTTTCACTTTGGGAGTATCATCTGAAAAAGAAAAAAAAAGTTGTGGCATTTATGTTACTGTCCTTTATCACATAAACCCCTCAGAAGTCTTAGTTAATAATGAAAATTATTTTATTGCTAAAGATGTTTTTTTAAAGCTTTTTCCTTTGTAGCAGAGTTTATGTTACTCATGTTACTGGTGGGATTTTTAAGGGAATAAATCGATGTTCTTGGATCATAATGATCAGCACAGTGTAACAAGGTGGATTATTTTTTTTTAAGGAAAAATACTCCATTCATAGACAAAGATGAGCAAAGTCACTTGACAGGGACTGTATTTGTTTCTTCCTTTATTCTTGTAGAAATTAAACGAGTTTTTTTTCCACAACCCACAAGTCTCCAGGAGGGATTTCAGCCTTTTTTGCCAGGAAAAAAAAACAGCTTGGTTTTCCCTCCTGACTTCTTATTTTCATCATGAATTCTATCCCCAAGATGGATGGGGTGTGAACTGCTGCAGGAGTTTCATCCTCCGAGATGCTAATTGGGATAAAATCAGCCTTTCAGCTCAAAACTCTTTAAAATCTGAGTGTTTCTGCACTCAGTGTAAGACAAGGCACGTTTTGTGGGCAGCAGATAACACTTTTATCTCTCACGTTTTGTTCCCCCTTAAACTGGAAAAAAAAAAAAAAAACCTCAGGTTTTTGCATGGTTAGAAAATCTGCTGCTGCAGGGGAAACGTTTCTTCACAGCCTCTTCCACGTGTAGACAGTAAAAATGTCATTTATTGCACGTGTTATGCTCTCTAATAATCTTCATTTTGCCACCCAGCCCTCAGTAAAACAGAATTCGAGTGAGCAGGTGAATGATGCTCCTTCACCTGCAGATGGGAAAATGGAGAGGCAAAACGAAGGCAACAACAATTTTTTTGTCCCAGTCTGGGATCATTTGGGCCGAGTCGCATTATTTGTGTATAAATACATATATTTATAATTTATGGGGAAAGAAAAAAGGGTTTCCTTGGTGCTACCAAGCTGTTTTTTGCTGCCTGTTTTAGGGGAGAGGATGAGGCAACGCTGCACGGCCACGGCGGACACGGAGTGCAGCCCCTGCCAGGACGAGTATTTCAGCAGCAATCACCACCACAGCTTCTGCAGCAGCTGCACAGTCTGCAACACCAGTAAGGCTCTGCACAGGGGGGGTTTCCTCCCCAAAAATTTGGGAAAAATCAGTCTTTGCCTCCTCACCTCCGTCCCGCGGTCTGGGTTGTCCCGATGTTATCCCGGTGTCTGATCCCTCCTGCTCCGTGCTGGTGGATGGGGCCTGGAAACCTGTGCCCCTCAGGGCTGTCAGAAACTCCCTGCAGGTGTTTCCACCCACGCTGGGGGTTCATCTTCGTTCTCTCTCGGTGTCTTGTCCCTCACTTGCCTCTCTAATCCCTTTTTTGCAGAGCGGGGCAGTGTGGAGGTGAAGAGGTGCGAGAAGACCTCGGACAGGGTGTGTGTGTGCCGGGCAGGGTTCATGCCAGCCGGGCTGCCCCTGGGAAGTGGTGAGTCAGGGACGTGCCAGGCTCTGCCAGCTCGTGCCTCCACACCAGGCTGGGGTGGTGATTTCCAGTGCAACAGCTGCTGTCATTTGCCTCTCATTATTTCCAGTCAAAAGCTTTTTCTGTCTTTTATCTCTCGGAGATCTCCCCGCCAGGGCAGTTGTTCAAACTGTTGCTCTGTGGTTCCTGCCAGAACTGTGAACATTCTCCTTGGTAATATCCATCATTTACCAGCAGATAAAGCAGGAAATCCTGCCACTTGCAGGTTAAAACGAACCACTGAGCGTGCTGTGTTACTTCTGCCCCAAAATCTCTGGTTTTTAGAGGCTTTTTGTTGGGTCTGTTCTGCAAGGCAGACTGTTGTTAAGTTATTAATGTCATTGCTGTGTGGCTGTCACACAAGTCGTGTTGCTCACTGAGCTCACCCCCTGCCTGGTTTATTCCCTTTTTTCCAGTGTGCTCACCGTGTCCTGAGGGGACTTTCTCCCTGGGAAGGAATGAGAAGTGTCAGCCTTGGACCAAGTAGGTATCAAGCACCGTTCTGGCTTCCCACCTTTCGCAGTCGACGCCCCAATCAGGGTGTGCAGGATAAACCTGCAGTGGGTGCAGGGAAAACCGTGTTCCTCGTGGCTCTCAGGAGCCTCGAGCAGCCTGTGCTGAGCTGAAACCTTTGGCTCTTTCTGTGTTCACCTCCAACAACAGAATTCTCACCCTTTTTTGGTTTTTTAAAGATCTGGATGTTTTGTTTCTGTGCTAAAGGTTCCCCTGGCCAAATGCAGCTGTGCTGCCTCAGGGCTGTCACCTCTAAGAAAATCCCAGTAGGATTGTTTCTCCAGTAATAACTTTGATTACCTTTGTTGTTCTCCATATACCTCTGCACTCTGGAAAAGATAAACCCTGAGTTTGTGCTGATCAAACACGGATTGTGACGTTCTGTGGGTATCACTTGGAAAATCCCACTGATTTATTCCCAGCCACAGCAGCCTTGGGAAAAGCACCTTTTTGAGCAGGGACAGAAGCCCAGGATGCTTTGTTTCTGTCCAAAAGGTCCCCCTGGCCAAGTGCAGCTGTGCTGCCTCAGGGCTGTCACCTGTAAGGGAATCCCAGCAGGATTTCCCAGTAGTAACTTTGATTCTTGCACATCTTAGTTGTTCTCCACGTTATCTGTGGGCTGTAGGAAAGGTAAACCCCGAGCTTGTGCTGACCAAACAAGGGTTGTGGTGGTCACTCACGTGGGTATAATTTAGAAAGTCATTATTGCAGCAAGTGCCTGAAAAATCCCGCTGATTTATTCCCAGCTGCAGCAGCCTTGGGAAAAGCACCCTCCGAGCAGGGACAGAGGCTCAGGATGCTGTTTGTGGCAGTCCTGGCCTGCTGCCAGAGACCCCTAGGACTGCAAGCCCTGCCTGGAGTCTCCTCACCACTTCCCACAGGGATAACAGCTCCACTGGCACGACCTCCACCCCACCCCGAGCTGGGGAAGGTCCTTCCATCTGCCCCGATCCCAACGACCCCACAGAGACCAACTGGGGTAAGGAGGGGGCTGGGCTTGGTTGGCAAGAGCTGGGCAGGGATTTTCACCTCAAACTGCTCCCCTGGGAGGTGAAATCCCACCTGGGAGGTGATTTTCCCTGGGGAGGTGAAATCCCACTGATTTTTTTTTCCTGGGAGGGGAAATCAAACTGGATTTTTCTGGATTTTTTTTTTTCCCAGGCTCTCTCTCCCTTCTCCTGCTCTGTCTGATCCTGCTCATGGTGAGTGGAATGTCCATCCTCCTGCTGATCATCCAAGCAGCCAGAAAAGACACCAAGGGGAGGCCTCGTGGAAGCAACAATCAGAGTGAGTTCCTTTTTTAGGGAGGGAAAAACATATGGGGGAAAAAGAACAATCAGGGCCCCCCCTACTGGAAAATGGATAATTAATCATTCTAAAACCTGCCTGGCTGAGTGGAAAGTGTCACCTGCAGAGGTTTTAGCCCCTGTTTGATCCTGAGGGATGAAGGGTCACAGTGTTTTAAAACCTCTGTCTGGTTTTTCCCCCCTTCCAATTTTCCTGCAGGGAATTCTCTTCAGCACAGGCAGGATCAGGAATGGACTTTTTTAAAGAGTAAAATGGGAATTTTTTTTTTTGCCCAGGCAGAAGGGAACTGTCCTGAAGGGTCTCCTGCAAACACAGGGAAGGTGTGACTGAGAAGAGATTAATTTGATATTCAGAATTAATAACCCAGAGCTGCCTCAGGTTCCATCCACAGATCCAGGGCAAAGCGGGTCCTCCCTGATCCCTACACTGGTGTTTTCCAGCACCAAATGTCACTCCTTTTATGATCATCCACAAAACCAGACAAGTCCCTGCCTTCCCTTTTCCTGCCCCTTCCACCCTACAGTATTTATTTTTATTTGGTATTCATTTTTAGTATTTATTTTTAGTTAGTATTTATTTTTAGTTAGTATTTATTTTTAGTTAGTATTTATTTTTAGTTAGTATTTATTTTTAGTTAGTATTTATTTTTAGTTAGTATTTATTTTTAGTTAGTATTCATTTTTATTTGGTACTTATTTAGGATTTATTTTTATTTAGGATTTATTTTTATTTAGTTGTTATTTATTACTTATTTAGTATTTATTTTCTATTATTTTTATTTAGTATTTATTTTTATTTGGGTTTTTAGTTGGTATTTTTATTTGGTATTTATTTTTATTTAGTTTTTTAATTTTGGTCTTTTTAGTTAGTGTTTTTATTTAGTATTTCTTTTTATTTAGTTTTTATTTTTATTTAGGTTGTATTTTTTATCCAGTATATATTTTTATTCAGTATTTATTTTTATTTGGGTTTTATTTGGTATTTTTATTTAGCATTTTTATTCCACATTTCTTTTGATTCCATATTAACTTCTATAACTCTGCCTCTCAGAGGACAGGAGCTGTCGAATTCCTATCCAGGAAGAACAGGGGGACTCCAATTCCAGCCTCATCAAGAACTGACTCCCCATCCTTTGCTGTCTCCTGCATTTCTGAGCCCGTGGGTTGGTCCAGGGGATGGTGCCTGTTCTGTGGCTGTGTGGAGGTGTTTAACTGTGGGATTATTTAACTGTGGAGCTGTTTAACTGTGTGATTATTTAATTGTGGAGGTGTTTAACTGTGGGATTATTTAACTGTGGAGCTGTTTAACTGTGGGATTATTTAATTGTGGAGGTGTTTAACTGTGCAGCTGTTTAATTCCAAACTGACCCCCCTGAGCACACTGTCAGTGGAACCCCCACCCCAGACCAGAGCAGTGCCCTCCATCCCTGCCATTAAACCCCCCACACACCGTGTGAATTGACCCTCATTTCCCTGAGGTTCTGCCCCAGGTTAAACAGCCTGGAGTTAAACAATCCAAGTTCAAAAATCCGGAAAAATCTGGGAGGAGCTGGGAGTGTTGTTGGGAGCAGCTCTGGATGTGCCTGAGAGGCCTCAGTGGGAAGGTTCAGGAGGCAGCAGAGCTGGGAGTGCCACAGTTCAGGAGGGGTTTGCATTTCAGATGCGTCTCCTCCGTACACAATCCCTCAGAAATGGTGCTTGGGATCCACAGCGCCCGAGCAGGTGCCAGGAGAGGCAGCAGAAAATTGTATTCCAAAGAATACCAGGGGTATTTAGACGTAAATTTCTTTATATGTTATACATATGGTGGACTTTAGCAAGGGGTTTCCTGTGTGCGAGTGCATATACAGTGTATAGAAACATTTGTATTGTATACAAAGGGGCACCTGTGGGAAATAAAGGCGTGGTCGCAGCTCTGCACGGTGTGTGGTGTGTGGGATTGGGAGCACAGAATTCCTGTGGGAAGCAGGATTAACCTGGAGCAGAGGGGACTGAAGGGAGGGTGCAGCTTCCTCGGGAGGGAGCTCGGTGTGAGCAGGGACAGGAGCCCAGGAGTGCCCTGAAGTTGTGTTGGGGGAGGTTTGGGTTGGATCTCAGGGAAAGGTTCTTCCCTCAGAGGGTGGTTGGCACTGAACAGGCTGCCAGAGCTCCAGGAGGGTTTGGACAAGGCTCTGAGGGACAGGGTGGGATTGTTGGGGTGTCTGTGTAGGGCTGGGAGTTGTCCTGGGTGATCTGTGATCACCAAGTGATCAGCCAGGGCTTTGAGTTCTCCCCCTGCCTCGCCCTTGGCTTCCTCTGCAGCGTTTGCCCTGCAGGCTTGGCCTGGCAGCAGCTCTGACCACAGGGGTCGTGGTGGGGGGCTCAGCCCCTCCACAAGAGCCCTGGAGAGGTCTCTGAACGTGCCCCGTGGCCCTGCAGGGGATGGGGTGGCAGGGGTGGCAGGGGGTGACCGCCAGGAGGGATTCCAGGGAACACCCCCCGTGGGTTCTCCGAAGATGAGCATCAGCCCGTGGGCAGCAGCTCGTGGGGCCCACGGGGCAGGAACCACGTTTCCCTGGGAGTGAGCGAGGTGCTGATGACTCCTGAGCCACGTGGGGCTGTGGGTTATGAGAAGGGCAGCCCACAGGAACACACCACAGAGCTGCTGCTGTGGCAGAGGCGCTGCTAGTGCAGATCGGCCCCCCTCCTGTCCCGTGGGCTCATCAGCTGCTTCCAGGAATCTCCCTCCGTTTCCTGCCTCAGCTGCACACGAAGGTGCCCCAGCACAGAGTGTTCTCATGCCTTCCTACAGCCTCCCCCCAGCCAGAGATTCCCCAAAAACCTTTCTGCCTGGAGAAAAGAACAGATGCTGGCCCTGCTGGGGGAGCTGGGGACGAGCTGCCTTTGCTCCACTGGACAGACAATCCCTGCCCTGGAGCTGGGATCCCATCCCTGTGCTGTGCAATCCCATCAAAATATTTAATATTTGATAGGATTGAAGGCATTTACAGCGTTGGAAGGAGGTTGGAATGAGATTGTCTTTCTGCTCCCTCCCAAGCCGAAGCAGTGTGGGATCTGTGATTGGATTTGCTGAGGATTTGGGTGCCGGTGGGTTGCCAGTTTAACTAAAACAACACAGATATTTTCCTGGAAATGGAAGAACAGCAGTTTTTATTTTTAATTGCCATTGTTAGTCTTCTGTGAAAAGCTTGCTTGGATTTTTTGGTCCAGTCCTCCCTAAAAATGCCAGGAAGTGGCTGCACACAGGCAGAGAGCGGTGAATGATTTGGTGCTGCCTCTGCCCACGCTCGTCTTCCCACTGCCAGAAATGAAACTTTCCCTTCTCAGAGGTGCAGGCCTTGTCACCAAGTGAGTTCCTGTTTTTCAACCTTTCAGATTTCCCCTTTTTTTCAGGCACTCAAGAGACACTTGAGCTTTTTTCACCCCAGTCTGAGCTGGTAATGCTGGGCTGGGCTGCTTTGTGCCTGAACGTTGCCACTAAAACTCAGCCTCCTGATGGTTTTAAGAACCACCTCTAAAAATGACTGATAATTGTATTTCTGAGTGAGAATAATGCCATTTTTCCCCGTGGATAATTCCACTTCCTTTCAGCTGCACTACCCACGAGTTACAGCCCCTTCAATGTGGGGAGCAGCAGAGTTTTGGATTGCTACCAAAAACCCGGGAGGAAAACCAAACAAAACCCCAAGTCCCCTTGTCTTTCTACCCACAGTATTTTTTTCTCTCTGCCTGGAGTTTTATCAAAAATATTTGTTTAAAATTAAGGTGCTTTTTTTTTTTTCCTTCCCATTATTGCAGTGCTGCCTTCAGCTTTGGAGAGGGACTGGAGCAAGACCAGACAGCAGCCATTCAGTTTTGGAGAAGCATTTGGGGCAAGAACAGACAGTATTTGAGAGCCACACTGGAAAAAATGAGCTGGGTCTTGCAGTTCTTGAACCCTCCTCTCAGACTTGGCAGTTCCAGATGTATTTCACGTTACAGTAGTGATTACAATTATTTTTAAAAATACCTAAAACCCCCTCCTAGATCTATAACTTTATGCTTTTCACGTTCACTTCCTCCTTTGCCTTTTTTCTTTCTTTTTTTTTTTTTTTTTTTTTTCTTTTTCGTCTCGGTTTTCCCCCTGCCAATCTCTGACGAGTTTCTGTTGCTGTGGCTACCCCAGGTCCTTTATCTCCCTGCCTTTTCTCTTCACATCCTCCCCCTGCTTCAGAGGAGCCTCAGAGTGACTCAGGTTTGCCATGAGAGACCTCGGAAAGGTCAGAGACAGACACCAGGGTTGAGATGGGGAGGGAACACAAGGCCTGGCTGGGTTTTGTTTTTTTTTTTTTTTTTTTTTGCCTCTGTCTGGTTTAGTTTCCCTCTGAGAATTCAACTTTGTTACTCCCTGGGCTCATCCACCACTTTTGGAACTCAGAGAGGTGACCCCTTGCACAGGTGACCTTGCTGAGCAGGTTCCTTGGGAAGGATCCAGGGGGTCCCTGTAAAGCCCTGAGGGGTTTGGGTGAGGATTTAACTCGTTTTATGACCCCACCAGGGTTGTGCCACGTTGATCTCACCTGGGCCAGGTGAGATCCTCCCTGTGGGACAAATCAGGCACTGCAAGAAGACCTCAAGGTCTGGCAGCCCCCAAGTCCTGCCACTGCAAAGCCTCCAGGTTGACCTAAAAGCAGAACTTCTGGGAAAAAAAAAGGAAGGAGCACAACAATTTTATCTCCTGCTTTCAGGCAGCAGATAAATCATGTGCCCTCCAGCTTTTTTTTTTTTTTTTTCACCCCTAAATCTTTGGGTGTCACTGGGTGAGCTGTCAGTGCTGGACGTGAATCCTGCAGGTATTCACGGAGTTTTCCACTCGATGAGCTGGAGCTCACAAGGCCATTTGGGCCCAACAGAGCTCATTAGTCATTCAGCAATTGCGCAGATTTCACGTGAACAGCCTCTTAGAGGAGAACTGGAGGCTTTGCTTGGGTCACCCATTATGGGTAATCAGCAAAAACTCAGCGTCAGGAAACCAAATATTCTCTCTGGTGACAAAGTTCTGTCACTGCTGACGCGAAGGCCAAGCGGTGTCAGTGAAGCTGCTGGAGTCCCAAGAACTAATTTGGGGGTGAGAAGTGGTTTGTGCTGAGTTTTAATTTTGGTTTTCTTTTGCTTTTGTGGGGGGGGTTTTCTTGCCCCTCAAAAAAAAGATGACTCATTTTGGACAGGTCAGCAACTCGTGGCTCCAGGGGCCAAAAAGGAACCTGGTGTGTTTTCAACGGGTTTAGATCACGGCTGCATGTCCTGAAGGTGGGCAAAAGCAGAATTCACAGCCAGTTCAGGGAATCACAGAACCACTGGGGTTGGAAAAGACCTCCAGGATCACTGATTCCAAATTCTGACCTGTCCCCACCTTGTCCCCCAGCCCAGAGCACTGAGGGCCACGTCCAGCCCTTCCTTGGACACCTCCACGTGTGGGGACTCCAAACCTCCCTGGGCAATGCTTGACCACCTTTTCCATGAGGAAATTCCTCCTGATGTCCAACCTGACCCTCCCCTGGCGCAGCATTTTCCCTGTTCCATCACAATGTGCATTGATGTCTCAGCTTCAGTTTGCCCTGAGCCAGGTATGGGATGGACAGGGGGGGCTGGAACTGAGTCCTTTCCCCTGTGGAGGTCGGGGTGGGAAGTGGACCCCTGATTTTGGGGTCTCTGAAGGGGTTGACAGCTGAAATGTCACCTTCCAGCAGAGACAGGTAAGGCTGGCTTTAAAAAAGAAAAACCAAAGATTCTAAGGCCAGATAGTCAGGTTACCTCTGAAAGGTCACTGCTGACTCTGGAGGTTTAGACTTGGCTCGAGCAACCACTGTCTGTGCTCTGACTGTAAATGTTCCACCATCTGACCGTATCTGTGCCCCACTGTAATGCTTGAACAAGAGTGAAAAACACGTACAGAGCAATTTTTTGGGGGGAAAAAAACCAAAAAAACCCAAAACCCAACAGTCAAAACAGAGAGAAATAAATAAATGATCAGTTCCTGCTCTGATAAACACCAGGTGCCAGCTGGGCCCAACTGCCTGCAGCCCTCACCAGGAGAGGGGTCCCCTTGGGTACCACCTGCCCAGGGGTTCAGGGGGCCCTCAGAGGTCCCTTCTCTGTTGTTCCCTGGGTGACACTGGGCTAAACAATTCAGATTCATGTTGCTCTTGGGTATTTAGGCTGTTCTGGTGGTCGTTGTTTGCTGCTGAGCTCCAGGGGAATGGCCCTGGCACCACCAGCCTGCCAGGCTGGGAGAGTTGGGATTGTTCATCCTGGGGTGACCTGACTGTGGCCTTCCAGTGCCTGAAGGGAGCTGACAGGAGAGAGAGGCTATTTCCAAGGGCCTGGAGTGCCAGGATAAGGGGGAATGGCTTCAAACTGACAGAGAGGAGGTTTAGGATCGTAGATTGGATGTTAGGAAGAAATTCTTGGCTGTGAGGGTGGTGAGGGGCTGGGATGGAATTCCCAGAGAAGCTGTGGCTGCTCCATCCCTGGAAGTGTCCAAGGCCAGGTTGGATGGGGCTTGGAGCAACCTGGGCTAGTGGAAGGTGTCCCTGCCCGTGGCAGGGGGTGGCACTGGATGATCTTCAAGGTCCCTTTTAACCCAAACACTCCACGATTCCATGAACAAAACAACCTGGCTGCACCAAATCCACCCAAGGACTCAACCTGCTTTAATTCCCAGTGGTACATCCACCTGCAACCCCCTGGAGAGAATCAGGGTGCACCTTGCCCTCCACCTGCTCCTCTCCCCTGGGAGTCCCTGGTGCTGCTCAGCCCTGCTGGTGACGCGGATAAAACCATTTCCCCGCCCCTCCAAAAGCAGGAAGAGCGAGGCCACAAAAAGCCCAGCACCTGCTGCAGTGCCAGGGGAAGG